TTGTTGTTTATCTGAAATTCAGAGTTAATTGGACACACTGTATTTTATTTAGGTTTTTAAAATTTTTTTTAACATTTACTTATTTTTGAGACAGAGAGAGACAGAGCACGAAGGGGGGGAGGGTCAGAGAGAGAGGGAGACACAGAATCTGAAACAGGCTCCAGGCTCCGAGCTGTCAGCACAGAGCCCGACGCGGGGCCCGAACTCACGGACCGCGAGACCGTGACCTGAGCCGAAGTCGGATGCTTAACTGACCGAGCCTCCCAGGCACCCCTAGATTTTTTAAATCTATATATTTATGTTAAATCTGGCAACCCTCCCCAGCCTCCCTGGGAACGGGACGTGCACTGGGGAATATGCGTTCTCACAAGCTCCCTGGTGATTCCGACGTGCCCCCAACACAAGGAAAACCTAAATTTGGAACTCCTCCTCTAAAGCATTTACAGATTGTTTCAGGAACCAAGGAAAACAGAGTCTCAAACGCCAAGCCTATAAACCCAAGTCTGTGAAGTGTGAGTCAATGTTTGTCAAACACGTGTTATTGATTATAAGAATGTATTTGGAACGTCCGATGAAATTACAAGTTCCCAGGCCCCCTGCCTGGGAGATTCTCATTCTGTGGCTTGCCAGTAGAGGACAGGGGGACAGACGACATCTGCCTGTTTTCACACAAAGGTATTTATGGAAATGTTATTTATAGGGACACAAAAATTGAAAGCTAGCTATCCATCAAAAGGGGACGTCATTTTATTTTATTTTATTTTTTTTTATTTTTTTATTATTTATTTATTTATTTTTGGGACAGAGAGAGACAGAGCATGAACGGGGGAGGGGCAGAGAGAGAGGGAGACACAGAATCGGAAACAGGCTCCAGGCTCCGAGCCGTCCAGCCCAGAGCCCGACGCGGGACTCGAACTCCCGGACCGCGAGATCGTGACCTGGCTGAAGTCGGACGCTTAACCGACTGCGCCACCCAGGCGCCCCGACACTATTTATTTTTGAGAGTGTGCAAGCTGGGGAGGGGCAGAGAGAGGAGAGAGAGGGGATCCCGAGCAGGCTCCGCAAGGTTATATGACCTGAGCCGAAATCGAGAGTGGGGCACTTAACCGACGGAGTCCCCGGGCACCCCTGTGCCGCTTTTTAAAAACCGGCTTTTGGAGATAGACTGACAGGCAAGAAAGCTGCAGGTGTTTAAAGGATGTAACTTGATCGACTTTGACTTAGGCGTGTGCCAGACGGACCACCATCAAGGCAGTGAGCAAACTCATCACCCCCAAAGGGTTCCTCGTGACCACGTTTGCTTGCCTGCTTTTAACAGCTTCCTCGAATATAATTTGCACCACACACACCTCACCCGTTTGTACGTGTGCCGTTCGGTGTTTGCACGTTTACGGGGTTCCGTAGCCGTCACTGCCACCCGCTTCCAGAACCTTTCCATCCATTTCTATCACCCTCCCCCAAACCTTGGAGGCACTTCGTTATTTTTGTTCGTTTTTCATTTTTAGATTTTAAAATGGTGGCAAAATACCGAAAACATTTACCGTCTGAACCTCTTGTGAGCATATAGTTCCGTCACTGCACTCACACTGCTGTGCAGCCGTCTCCGGAACGTTCTTCCTCTTCCCAATCCGAAACCCTGTGCCCGTTACATGAAAGCTCCCTCCCTCTTCCTTGCTCCCCCAGCCGCCACTCTTTCTGTCTCTATGAACTTGACCGCTGCGGGCCCCTCACAGAAGTGGAATCTCACAGTGTTTGTCCATTGGTGACCATCTCCCTTCGCTTACAGAGTGTAATGTCCTCACGGTCCGTCCATGTTGTAGCAAGTGTCAGAACTCTCCTCTTTTTTTTTTTTTTTTAATTTTTTCATGTTTATTTATTTTTGAGAGAGAGAGAGAATGGGGGAGGGGCAGAGAGAGGGAGACACAGAATCCGAAGCAGGCTCCAGGCTCTGAGCTGTCAGCACAGAGCCCGACGCGGGGCTCGAACCCACGAACCGTCAAGATCGTGACCTGAGCCGAAGTTGGACCCTTAACCGACTGAGCCACACAGGTGCCCTGCATTGTTAACATTTTCTCCAGAAGCTTCTTCAGTGTGGACAGTTGACAACACAAAACAGATCAAGCTCTGATTTACAGTGTTTGCTATTTCTGTGGTGTAAATACTCCCACCATGGCCAATCTCAAGAGACCAGGGAAACATCACTGAGTACAGAGATACAGGGAGACGTGAGGTAGCACGCACATCTAGGGTTAAATCACCTCAAGAGCATGGAGAGGGGTAAAATAATGTAATATAATTCAGAAGGGTGAGTGTTAACTATGTTACTTTTGTTTCTACTATCGTTTAATTGTAAGTTCATATAATTTAATTTTTATTAATGGCTTCTTATCAACCAGCTCACAAAATTCCTGGGCATTTAATACCTGGCTCTCATGGGGGCACCAGGGTGGCTCGGTTACTTAAGCATCCAATGTCGGCTCAGGACATGATCTCACGGTCCGTGAGTTCGAGCCCCGTGTCGGGCTCTGTGCTGACAGCCCAGAGCCTGGAGCCTTGGAATCCTGATTCCAAGCAGCGCGTGCAACATCTTGTGGTTTTCACACCGTCTCTTTCTTCCTTTCTTTTTTGGAACTTAGAAAATTTCCTATTCCCTGTTAACCGATCATCTAAGACCCTTCTGTGAGTATGGAAAGCAGTTATAAAAAAAATCATGACTTCAAACAAGCTCGAAGCTCTAAGAGCCCGGGTGTTAGAGTCAAACAGCATCATCGCTTCCCGGCTGGGGGACCTTGGGCGAGTCACTTACCCCCTCTGAGCTTCAGTTTCTTAATCCACAACATGGGGGCAAAAATGCCTCCCCCACCTCTGGGATTGTTCTGGCAATTAGATGAGAGCACAACACAGTCTCTGGCACCCGGGTGCCTTCCTGACGTGGTGGCTCATCGCCGGAGAAATATCGGCAATTACAAACAGCAGAGCACGTGACAGGCTCTCCAAGGGCAAAGTCGGCTTCACCGTCTGCCCAGCCTCCGGGGCGTCCTGGCAGCGTGTGTGGGTCTTGGAGGCACCCAATATGCAAACTCCCTTGGTTATTTTAGGGTGTCCCATTCAACCTGCACCCCTTACAGGGCTAGAAGCACACACTGGAAAGATAACATAAAGAACAAGTAGATAATCTGAAAAATTGGGTTATGTTTTCTTGAGTAAATTATTGACCGGTGTTTGTTCAAGCTGATACAAACTCAGTAGCGGGTGTGGCCTGGCTAATCCAGGTGGTTGACAACCTGCTATTTTAAAGACAGTGTGGAAGAAATCAGGAGTGTAACATATGCTCCCTCAAAAACAACAAAAAACATGCCACATACCATATGGTCAGAGAAAAGGGAAAGAAAAAAGGCATTAGCGTGTATTTTTAAACTCACGTTTCTAAAAACAGACTTGTTGATAACTGACCTTGACCCCAAGCTCCGGGTACATTCTAATGTGAGCACAGCCCAGAACTAGCTTTTAACGTGAGTCCTTTTCTTATGTTTGCTTTACCCCTGCCTGTTTCCTTATGTACTGGCAGCGATTTCTGAGAAAACCTTGACCTTGCTTATTATAGAGCAAGCATGCAAACCAGAGAAAATCAACTTTTACCTTCCAACTAAAGCCACCCTCAACCAACAAGCTTGAGAAAGAAAACAAAAAGCCTTAGTGTTTTATTTTTAATTTTATTTTTGAATCCGAAAAGCCAAATGGAGCCTTTCGTGCACGTATATGTCCCTGGCTCCTTCCCCCTTAGGGACCCTATCATTATGGCTCTGGGCTGCAAGTGACAGAATCCAGCTCTAGGCGGCCTCACCGGGGCTGAGCAGCTCAGGGTACCGCCCCGGCCAGGGCTCAAAGCCAGCTCCCCACGTGCAACTCCACGTTCACAGCAGCCATCATCACTGTAGCCAGTGACGATGGGAACCCAAGTGCCCCAAAATGGCTAAACAAAATGGGGTGAATTCTGACACCTGCTACAACGCGCGTGAACCTTGAGGACACAATGCTCGGTGAAATCAGCCAGTCGCCCAAAGACAAAGGCGGTACAGTTCCACTTGCCTGAGGTCCCTAGAGGAGTCAAATTCACAGAGACAGAAAGCGGAATGGTGGGTGCCAGGGGCTGGGGGAGGGGGAAGGGGGTGGTGGTGTTTAATGGGAACAGAGTTTCCGTTCTGTAAGATGGAAACCTTCTGAAGATGTGTCTCCCAGCAACGTGAGTGTCCTTGGCACTGCCGACCTGTACGCTTAAAAAGGGTTAAGATGCAAATGTGGCGTTACGTGTGATTTACCACGATTAAAGCAACAGCGGCTTCTAGCTCTCCAGGCCTCGGCCCCGCTCCCTCAGGCAGGCTACATTGTCAAGTCCGCAGACCACTCCAGACCCTGATGTCCGGCCACGGGCTCCCTGGGTCCCTTTGGCTCTGATTGGATCGCACGCCTCACCGCTCAGCCAATCACTGAGGCCGGGGAATGTGATTGGCTGAGTGCTTAGCCCCACCCACAAGTCGCTCAGCGATTGGGCGGGAGATTCCCCAGACGCTCCAAAAGACCTGAGTGGGGTCTGGGCTGCCCCCCTGGGGAAGTGGATGGTATTGGACGTGCCGGACGGGCTCACTCCCGCTGGCACCCTTGCCGTTAGTTAGCGATGAGCGTATGACCTGAGGATCCCAGCACAAAAGGGGAGTTCTTCCACGCCTCCCAGCAACCTCCAGATTTGTTTTCTAGCAGGCTGGGGCTAAAGCACGTTAGAATTTACCCCTTCTCACCTTTGGCCCATGGGCCAGTGAATATTTATTTAACTGGTGGGGAAATGTTATAGGAATAATTGAGGCAAGACAGACCCTCCTAAGTGGGGAGGAGACAGGATGGATGGGGAACTTAGTGCAGGGCAGGAGCGGGACACCCTGGCCCTGGGGAATAACGAAAGGAAGAAAGCACAGGTGGAGAGGCTGAGATGTTGACACTGGGGAGAAATTGGGAAAGTGCGCGGAAGAAACAGAGCCCTGGAACACTGCCAAGTCCGTTCCTGAAGCAGGTTTAAAGTGGGCCAGTGTCATTATGAATGATGGGCCAGATGTCCCCAGGCAGTTGGAGCTCGGAGCTTGATATCCCTGAACGCTGTCCTCACGGACTCCAAGACAAAGTCTTCAGAGAGAACGCACAGGATCTTTGACTTGCTGGGGAACGTCTAGGGCCTGAATGAATGGAGAGTCTTCCTCAGATATCTAACTGAAGCTGTAGGAAGTTCTATGAGTAGGTGCTCGTATTTGGAAGTGTCTCTCTCTCACTATGTGTCTCTGAGTTCATATTCTCTCCCGTCTACAGGAGACACATGAGCCCCAAGCAGGGGGGAATAGATGCGTGGCCCTACATAGTGGCAAACCTTGAACTCAGTGTGTTTTTTTCTGCCAAGAGAATTGCAGTGGGGGAGGTGAGACAGAGGCGGGGGTCATCAGACCTCCTCCCCAATCCCCTCCCCACCACTACCTGAGCCTGGGTAAATTCATTAAGCTCACCATGCCTCGTTGGTAATATAGGAGTCGTTTTGTAATATAGGAGTTCTGCTCGGCAGGACTATCGTGAGAAATAGATAAGGAAGGAACAATAAGTGATAGCACACCCCAATGTTACGGTTGAACCACTAGGCCCAGGGAGAAACCACCACGGAAGCGTTAAACCCAGGCAGAAGCCAGGTGTCAGCATCCCTCAGCAGGTGTCTGTCCACGATTAGACGGGGTTGGGTGTGCTTCCCATATAAAGTAGCCGCAGGCCTCTTCCAAGGGTCAGATGATGAAACAGTCCCTTGGTGGACGTTTGTGGAGCACTTCCCAAGAGTCGGGTGTGGTACATGTTGAGGATCGAAGGTTAACGAGACAGGCGAGGTCCCTGCCGTCCCAGAGCTCTTGGCTTCAGAGGGGCAGATGGCATTAGAAGTGCCCAACAGATGCAGAGTGTGGATGGAATGAAAGCAGGCTGGGGGTCCTGAAGAGCCCGGTGTGAATCTCAGGGATGTGTTCATTCATTCTTTCAACCAGTATTGGAGGGCCTGCTCTGTATGTGCCAGGCATTATTCTAGGTGCTGGGGACACAGGGGTGAGCAAGATAGACAGAAAGCCCTTATCCTCTTGGAGGTGACGTTCTACCAGCTCAGAGGCTCACCAGCAAATCTAGGATCTTGGAAAGTCACAAGGTCTCGCTCAGCCTCAGTCTCATGACAGAGTGTTGGGTGTATCAAACAGGGTGATGCCTGTGACCCTCTCGGCCGCATGAAGGCTGTCCCCAGGAACTGGTGGTGTGATGGTGCAATGTGACCCACGGTGGGGCCCGCCATCCCAAACTTGGGGATGGTCTGGCGGGGGACGGGGGGGGGCTTCCTTGGGGAAGTGACTTAGAAGCTGAGCCCTAGGGCAGCAATTATATGGCTGGGACAAAGGTGGAGACCACCCCCAGCTGATCGGACCCTCCTCCGACTCTCTTCTCTGCCCCTGCAGGTCTCCTCCCCATGGATGAGTGGCCCGGTACCTTGGCCAAGACCACAGCCACCTGTGGCCACACAGCAGTCGCAACAGTCCCCCCCACCTCTGCAGATGCCCTTCCCCCTGGGGATCCGGCCCGCACCAGTGCAGAGGAGCTGGTCCCAGGGGGTTCCCAGGCCCACCATGGTCCCTCCTGCCTGTCACAAGCGGCCCATGAGCGCCGGAGGGAAGATGTTCTCCTTTGTGATGGATGGCGTCCACAGGCCTCCCATCATCAAGCAAGGTATTCGCTCGCACTTCCAGTGGTGGTTTTGGGGATGACCTTATAGCCACGCGGGTGGGTCTTGGTTTTTGCTTATTTTTTCCGATTCTGAAAGTAGAACATAGTCAATTATGAAAAACTCGGGGATAAACAGAAAGTAAGAAAACAGTTAAAGATCCTTTGTCACCCTCACCACCCAGCACCCCCTGTTGACTTTCTGGGGCCTGACCCTCCAGACTTTGTGCTCTGCACAAATGCACACATTGGTACCCCCGTGGCGAGCGTGCAGGCGTGGGTGTGTGTGTGTGTGTATCTGAATACATAGCAGGCTGTAAACTTACAACTTTGACTCAGATGTGCAGAAACATGGGCAGCCGAAATGCCCCTCACCCACAACAGCCTTAGGAGCTTTTAAATATTTTATTACCATTTCACAGATGACAGGAGGCTGAGGCTCATTGAGGAAAATTACATCCCAGACGTGACATATTCAATCTAGTCTGATCTAACATTTTTCAGTCTGATTTAAGGCTAGTTATCTCGGTGACTATCATTCACAGCCTGGTCGCTTTGGGGACCAATCTTCACAGTTTCCTTCCCTCACCCTCTTCCCCTGAAGGCTTCATGACATTTGGGGAGGGGACTTCCTATCTGTCACTATCCTCTTGGCCTCTCCGGCAGAGTAGCCAGCTTGACTTGACTTAGTCCTTGGCATGACCCCGGTTTCCTCCATGCCTGTGATGTGAAGATCGCATTCTCTGTCCTCTGGGTCCCCAGGTCTCTCTGTGGCTCCACACCCTTGCCTGGTGTCACTCAAGACCATTCACCTGATCACCTCCCTCAGCCATTCAAATAATAGTTATTGTTGTGAAATATACAAACTGAGGAGTAAATGAAATGCAGTTATATTCACCACTATCATCAGCATTATCATCATCAAATGAACCCTTGTGGACCATCAACATCAAATGAAGTTGAGAAATTACTCAGCCATTTCCCCCTTTCATTTTCATATGAAAATTTTCAAACATACTGCAAAGTAAAAAGAATTTTACAGAGACCCTCCCACCTAATTCCACCATTAACATTTTGCCATACTCTCTACTGCATATCTGTCTATGCATCCCTCTATTCATTCATTAATCCATCTTTCATGCATTTCAAAATAAATTTCACACATCTGTAGCCTTCTTCCTAAATATTTTAGTATATACACCATTAATCAGAATTCAACAGTTTTTGTCTTTTTGATGTAAAATTAACATGCGGTGTATATGTTGTCAATTGCTGCATGACAAATTCTCCCAAAACTTAATGGCCCAAGGGGCTGCCTGGGTGGTTCAATTGGTTAAGCCTCTGATTCTTGATTTCGGCTCAGGTCATGATCTCACAGCCGTGAGATCGAGCCCCATGTTGGGCTCTACGCGGAGCGTGGAGCCTGCTTAAGATTCTCTCCCTCCCATGGGGCGCCTGGGTGGCGCAGTCGGTTAAGCGTCCGACTTCAGCCAGGTCACGATCTCGCGGTCCGCGAGTTCGAGCCCCGCGTCAGGCTCTGGGCTGATGGCTCGGAGCCTGGAGCCTGTTTCCGATTCTGTGTCTCCCTCTCTCTCTGCCCCTCCCCCGTTCATGCTCTGTCTCTCTCTGTCCCAAAAATAAATAAACATAAA